GAACTCTGAGGGAGTGTGGATGGAGGAGGCGGGTGCGGTAGAGGGGATTATGGTGGATTATTTTGCGAGTTTGTATGGGTTGGAACAGGGGGATATGAGTGAGGTGCTAGACTGCATTGTCCCGAAGGTTACTAATCTGGATAATGAATTGCTCCTGAGGCCTATTAGTTTGGAAGAGGTGCGTAAGGCAGTGTCGCAGATGCATCCGGATAAGTCGCCGGGGCCGGATGGGATGGGGCCGGGTTTTTTCCAGCACTACTGGGATATTATTGGGGGTGCGGTGACTGATTTTTGCAGGTCTTTTGTGGAAACGGCCGAACTCCCGGCTAAAGCGAATGAGACGTATATTGTCCTAATTCCCAAGAAGCCTAGACCAGAAACAATGATGGAGTTGCGGCCTATTGCACTGTGTAATGTGCTATATAAGGTGGCTAGTAAGGTGTGCGCTAATCGGTTGAAGGTGCTGCTAAACAAGTTAATTTCGGCAGCACAAAGTGCTTTTGTGCCGGGGCGTCTCATAAGTGATAATATTATGCTTGCATATGAGGCGCACCATTATCTGAAGAGGAAAACTCAGGGTCGTGAGGGTGTCGTGGCTTTGAAGGTGGATATGAGTAAGGCATACGACCGAGTTGATTTGTTAAAGCTATGTTGCTTAAGATGGGCTTTGCGAGAAGATGGATAGATATTCTACTGGAAACTTTAACTTCCGTGCGATATCACGTCCTCCATGAACAGAAACAGGTTGGTCCAATTGTGCCGGAGCGGGGGCTGCGGCAGGGAGACCCGTTATCTCCGTATTTGTTCCTAATTGTGGCAGAGGGCCTTAGTGCTTTGATAGAAAAGCATATGCAACAGGGGAGTTTGCATGGGGTAAGGGTGGCGCGGGGGGCACCTCCAATCTCTCACTTACTCTTTGCAGATGACTGTTTTCTATTTTTCAGGGCTAATCATCAGGAAACTAATGTAATGAGGAGGGTGCTGGACACTTATTCTGCTGCCTCCGGCCAAAAGATCAATTATGAGAAGTCGGTTGTGTGCTTTAGTTCTAATGTGGATGGTCAGGCAAGGGATGATGTTGTGACGATAATGGGGGTTAATGAAGGAGATACTACAGGTCGGTATCTAGGCCTCCCTTCATTAGTAGGCCGAAAGAAGAAGGAGGTTCTCGGGTTTATTAAAGAAAGAATTTTGTCCAAGGTAAGATCGTGAAATGCAAGGTTTCTGTCCAGGGCAGGCCGTGAGGTTATGCTCAAGAATGTCGTTCAGGCCATGCCGGCTTATGCCATGATGGTTTTCCTTCTTCCGGTAACTTTATGCAAGGAGATGGAGGTCATTATGAACTCTTTTTGGTGGACAGGAGTAGCGGTGAATGGGAGGGGGGTCCGATGGCGTTCATGGGAGGGGTTGAGTTTGCCGAAATCTAAGGGGGGGATGGGTTTTCGGACATTGCGGGAGATGAATTTAGCGTTACTTGCTAAACAGGCATGGTGGCTTGTTAAGGATCCGAGTTCGCTCGTAGCCCGTGTGTATAAGGCACGGTATTATCCCCGGGGTACCTATTTTGAAGCAGAAGAAGGGTCTAACCCTTCGTATATTTGGCGGGGAATGATGGCGGTTCAGCAAGTACTAAGGGACGGTAGTCGACGGTGTGTGGGGAATGGCCGGAGTATAACGATAGGCACCGACCCATGGTTGCCGGTAGATGATCACCCGTATGTGCAGACGGTTTTGCATGAGTCAGTTGCGAACGCTCCCGTTGTGTCTTTGATGAATGAACAAGGTACGCATTGGGATGTGGATTGTATAATGGATTTGTTTAATACAAGGGATGCAAATCTTATTCTACAAATACCAATTAGTAGCCGTAAACCACCGGATTCATGGGTGTTGCAGTGGGATAGTAAGGGTGTTTTCACAGTGAAATCTTGTTATAAATATCTCTCTTCCCATGCTATGGACACGAGACCTTGGGCTTCAATTTGGAATCTTAATGTTCCTCCTAAAGTTAGACTATTTGGGTGGCAGTTGGCAGCTTCTTACTTACCAACTCGTGATGCACTTTTAAAACGCCATGTTGATTGTAATGTGATTTGCCACATGTGCAGGGAGGAGAGTGAGAGTGCACACCATTTATTTATTGCTTGTCGTGAGGCTGTTGTGGCAAGGAGGAAGTTGGGCCTTCTCACAACTCATGTCGCTGGTGATACTGTGGGTGAGTGGATTTTTAATTGCTTTGCAGTATTGTCACATGACCATATGTCCAAGTTAATGATGTTGTGTTGGGGTTTGTGGACTGCCAGAAATGATGTTGTATGGAATGCACAACCATGGAACCTGGAGTTGATGTTGCGGCACACCATGGCGTTTTGGGAAAACTGGGGTGCGGCACAGTGTGTAGTTGGCGGACAGCAAAATGGGGGGGCAGTGGTGAGGTGGGAGAGGCCGAGAAGGGGAAGGCTGAAGTTGAATACGGACGCAGCGCTAGATAAGCAGCATAGTAGGGTGGGTTTTAGATGGGTGTTAAGAGATGATGATGGTAGTTTTCTGGCTGCCAAGAATGGAAGGATGATGGGTTTTTTTGAGCCTAGGGAGGCCGAGGCTATGTGTATGCGAGAGGCTCTGAGTTGGCTGAAGGATACGAGGATGGGAAACGTGGAGGCCGAAACAGACTCACAGATACTTTGTAATGCTATTTATAGTGATTCATATTTCTCTTCGTTTGGGTTGTTGGTAGGGGATATTAAAGAATTGGCATCTTCCATTAACGATGTCGAATTCCGGTTTGTAAAACGATCTGCGAATCAGGTTGCCCATACTCTAGCTCGGGCGGCTGTTTCTATGCCAGATTGTGGTGAGTGGTTTGATGTGCCACCGTTATTTCTTGTAACCTGTCTTAGAGGTGATTTAATGAATTAAGGTGTTCGTACCAAAAAAAAAAAAAAAAAAAAAAAAACACTTAAACTTAAAAAGTATTTAACTATTTAGAAATAAAGCAAATAAGATAGTTAAAGAGAAAATAAAACTTAACTTTTAAAGCCCATCACTCATTAAAGAGAAAATAAAACTTAACTTTTAAAGCCCATCACTCATTAGTAGCACTAATAACTCCTTTTTCATGATCATCTTAATCTAGTCTCTTTTCCTTTTACTCCGTAGTTGTTTCCGGCCATAACCCTCACCTAGTTCTCATCCAACCCACCTTGTTTTTATAGTTTCATTTTATCCCATTGAAAGGTGGCGTTTTGCTGAAATTCTAATTCAATCTTCTTTCACACTAACTTTTGAGAAGTTACTCCACCACTCTTTCCCTTGCTCTTTTAACATGTTGCATACAAAAATGGCAAAGTAAATGAAGTAATTCTTTTGGCCAACTAATCCTTCATATATTAGTAGGTCGTTGGCTTTCATTTTTGTTATCATTTTGTCCTCCTTAATTTTCATGTACAATTTTTTGCTCGATTGGGTGCGTGCCATCGAAATACTTACAACATATATTATCATAAGCAAAAAAGAAGCACAATACCAACACTACCACTCCAAATTGCAGTTTATAAGAATACATAAACAATGCACAAATAGAAATTTCTATACTGCATGCCATGTGAGGACATAAATTAACGTCCTCCTAAATATATACTGTGGGAAAATAATTATTTTTATCCCTCAATTGTTTTGTAACTGTAATTTAGTGCTTAATTTTTAATTTGAATGAATTTATCATGCAATTGTTTTAAATTTTGTCAATTAAATACTCTAGAGTAACTAATAATTGATTGACGAAATAGTGGCTAGGGAATTTAATTAATGAAATTTAAAATAATTGGAGGGGCAATTCGTTCAAATTAAAAATTAAGAACTAAATTAACAATTTCAAAACAATTTAGGAACCAATAAAAACAATGATTTTTCCTATACAACATAAATTGATTATTTTTTTGGTTGTCCAAAGATATCCCTCTAGCCGAGAGCCAGAAGACTAATCTCTCGTCTCTACTGTCAGCACACTAAGTGGTAGGGACTAGCCAAATGATTTGCTTCATTCACATGGGTGGGGATCGAACCCCCAACCTCATGCCATGCTTAAGGGACGAGGTGCTGAACCACAACATAAACTGATTTTGCAATGCCACACCACACAAAAGCTCTTGAGTTGGAATTCTAAAGGTTTAAGATTAGTCTAGAATAATTATATATATACACACACTTAGCCACAATGTTATGGAGTACTGGGGAATGACAAATTTTATTATGGATAGTCGGTGTCTAGATGGAGGGCAAATTATGCTGTGGAAGCGTGTCCACCTTGCAAGGTGGGCACGGTTCCAAAACTCACTATTGGAAATTCTGAAATTTTCGACCACCTGAAAGTGTCTTAAATCAAGTTGAAAGTCTTGTTCCGACTATTTTTGGTATCCGGAAAAACCCTTGTTGCTATTTCTGACCACTTTTTGCTTTCAACTTGATTTAAGATCACTTTCAGGTGGTCGGAAATTCAATAATTTCCAATAGTGACTGTTCATAATTGTGAATATAGTGTTCAAAAATTATGAACACATAGTTCTATAATTTATGAGCATAGAGTTATGTAATTGTGAATATAGAGTTCAATAGCTGTGAATATGAAGTTCAAAAATTATGAATATAGAGTTTTATAATTATGAACATAGAGTTCAATAGTTGTGAATATAAAATTCAATAATTGTGAATATAAAATTCAAAAATTATGAACATAAAATTTTATAATTATAAACATAGAGTTCAGTAATTATGAGTATATAATAAAGGTGAATACCGTTTCACGACATAACTATCCTCACGGGTTATGGATCGGAGAATGACAAATTGTACTGTGGACAGTACCATCTGTGGACCATAGGTGTTTCGAGATTTTAAAAAAAAAAAAAAAAGAAAACAACCTTAGCCACAAAGTTATGGAGTGATGGAGACAGCCATTTGGTCAATGTGGCATGTGCTCTTAGCAGCGTCTCGGTCATCGCTTCTCGTCCACATTATATTGCTATCCTAAACTTGAATTGCTTTCACGTTTACACTTGTGGGTTTCTTCGATCTTTGGTTTTGTTTCTTCACTTATTTCTGGGGTTTTCTTCATCATATCACCCGGCAACTATCAGGTACGTACTGCTATGCTCTCTTTCCGTTCTTGTATACCATCGCTAGCTCTAGAAAACTGTTAAATGGCAGTTTTTGTACTTTTATTATTATTGTTATTGTTATACTGGAAAAATGATATCAATTTTAATGTGATATAAAGCTAAGACTCACTTTAGAAAGTGGGTTGGAGTTACAAGGATATTGTAAAAATAGTAAGGGATTTAGAGATTTAATGATGTGGAAGTAGGACTTATTTTTTAAAGGAGATAACTCTTGCAAGGCAAATTATATCATGGATCAGGTCACAAGGGTCTATAATTATGTTCATATTATATGTTGTAGTTAATATATTATGTGTGTACAATTGATATATTATGAATCATGGTTCATCGTATAATTTGTCAAATACTAATAGATGTCTAATGTTGTGGACTTGGTTGTTATTGATAGCACAAATTAGCTCTATGTAATTGGTGAGTATATTACGAGCATGGTGAAATAGGCTTTAAAGTAGCTTTTTTATTCAATAGTCTCGAGAGAGTTGAGAGGAATTGTGTAGGTGTTTTAGAGAGTGATATCTAGAGAGAGAATCAAGAAAAAAGTCCCCTTCTAATGAAGGGCTAAGGCCCTTTATATAGGCACTTGACCTGTACTCGATATCGAACAGATGTACAAAATGTGTAGGACGATATATTCGGGTAGATTCCCTATCAATTACCACTCCATGTGCTTTTTGGGAATGACAAACTCAAGCCTTCATTTGCTAACTATTGCTAATTTAAGTTGGCAACAGGCAGTGAAGGATCTGAAAAGAATAGGGGAGTGAGATATGTGGTCACGCAATTTAGATTGGTGGATGCTTTCACTGGCAATAATCTTACTAATATTGGCAACATCATCATCTCCAACTTCACAAGCAGCTAAGACTTTAAGATATAAGAATGGGGTGAAAACAGCTACCTTCCTATCACCAAAGGTTGAAGTAGAACCTGGAATGGTATCAATCGAATACTATTATAAAATCGACTTCCCAAAGGGTCATATTGCTATCAAAGGATTTGATGCAGAAGTGGTTGATGAAGCAGGGAATTCAGTCCCTCTACACGAGGCATATCTCCACCATTGGACCGTTGTAAGGTCCTATCTGCGTCAAGGTGTTGAAAAGCCAAGTTTGGGGTCTAACCAATCAGATTATATAGTCGTGGGGAACTCTGGAATTTGTGCAACTCTTACACAACATTTTGGGCTCGGAGCAGAGACGAGAAAAACAGACAGTCACATCCCAAATCCATATGGAGTAGAAGTTGGGAACCCAACAGATGTCCCCGAAGGTTATGACGAGGGATGGACACTTAACGTGCATATAATCGATACGCGGGGTGTTGAAGATAAGATTGGATGCACTGAATGCAGGTGTGACCTGTATAATATCACAATGGATGAGCAAAAGTTATATAAAGAACGAGGTTATATTGGAGGCGTGTTTTGTTGCGGTGACAAGATGAAATGCAAGTTAAAAGAAGGATATAATAATGATACCAAAAGAAGTCTCTACCTAAAGTACACTGTGAAATATGTTGACTGGGATTCCTCCATTGTGCCTCTCAAAATTTATATACTTGATGTTGCTGATCCTTGGAAAATGTCTGATGATTCCAAAGAGTTCAAGAAATTGCACATGTGCCAGGTGATTATATTAATTTAGCACTACCTACCTATCTTCTATATTATATTATTATGTTATATACATTATACTTTCTCCAACCCAGTCCTTTTTCCCAAAAAGTAATTCAGTTGGTCTATCGTACCATATATGATTCTGCAGGTTGAATATTATGTGGAGTCATGTTCTGATGCTGTGGTTAATGATAAATGTGTTCATACCAAAAGTGCAAGTGTAATTTTGCCAAGTGGAGGGGATGTCATCTATGCTGTTGCCCACCAGCACGCAGGAGCTATTGGTTCAACTCTTTATGGACAGGTATTTTTGCTTGTTTAGATTTGGGTATGTGTTTGTGTAGCGTGAAATCTATTGTTTAAACAACTACTTTTTGATTTGTTTTAGGATGGACGGACAATATGCTCATCCCTCCCTATTTACGGGAAGGGAAAGGAGGCTGGAAATGAAGCGGGATACATTGTAGGAATGACAACTTGTTATCCTCGACCTGGTTCTGTCAAGATTGTTGAGGGGGAGATGATAACCATTATGTCTAATTATAGCAATAGCCAGAGCCACACTGGAGTCATGGGTTTTTTCTACCTTGCTGTTGCTGAACCTTTGAAGAAACCCAACTCTATCTTGCATGCTCAAAACTAGGTAACAATATTTTTCAACTTTAACATGCTATATATACCTTAATATGTAAATTTAATTTTTATATACTTTAGGCATGTATTGTAGAGATAAACAGACATTTGGATTGATTTTGCCCGGTGATGCCATGATCCCAACAAATGGCCTTTGGGGCTTTATTTGCACCGTGTGGAATTGCAAATTGTAACAATGGCTACGAACCTATAGTTGTTTGAGGCGGCTGTTTCATGCTCTGGTTTACATGTTTGCTGTGTAATATGGAAAATGATATAGGTTGTGTGTAATAAAAATTGTGGTCCATATTTTTTTAAGTGAATCAAAAGGTGACATGCAAGCAGGCAATATAAAATATAATAGAATGTGGGAGTACATGTAGTATTACTCTGTAATATTACTACTTTTTTTTATCGTCTTTTGTGTTTCTTTTTAAATTTTAAGTCATGTTTATGTTAGAGTCAATAGTGCTCAAAAAAAAAAAAAGTCATATTTATGTTGTGTTTGTACATTTATATGTTTTGAAATGTTTGGTTTGTAATATTACTACTTTTTTCGTAATTTGTATATCATTTCAAGTCAGATTTATGTTTGGTTTGTACATGTATATGTATATCAGTTCTAAGTTCATGTGCACATGCTTGGTTAATTTGTTTCTTAACTTTTGAAATAATGTTTGTTATTATCTTAAAAAAGTGTATCAGTGCGTGTACACTTTTAGTTTTATATATTATTATCTTAAAAAATCTTAATCATTTAAGAATTTAAAATTTTTTAATATTTTAAAACAATTGACTTTAATTAAATTGCTGGCGTGAACACAAGCTATTACTCTACCCTTCTCTCACTCCTCAAAATGAAAAAAATGGGTACTAATACTAAATTCTCATTTTTTCTTCATGGTAATAGAACCACAAGTTTTGTATGTAGATTTTTATGAAGTACTAGACTTAAAGTTTGTCATAAATTGAAGTAAACTTGTGACTTTTTTAATTGCACTTTTTTGAATTTTACAAAACTCTTGGTAATTGTTTTATTACTAAGAAGAAAAAATGAGGATTTTGAGTGGTTAATAATGTCATTTTAATGTTATTTAAATATATTTGTTGACAGATGACCAAAAACAGTCATGCCACAATTATGTTAGGACCAACGGTGGTGTTTTGAGGAAAAAAAAAAAAGGATTAAAAGTGAAATGACAATATAAATCTTAGACCAAAAAAAGGAAAATAACTTTGCACCAATAATATTATGACCAAAGGAAGATGTGTTTTTTTTTTTTTTTTTTTTTTTTTAAAGACTAAAAATGAACTAATACATATAGACTATAGTATATACTAACGAACCAAGAAACAAGGTCAAACAGCACACCTCTAATCTTATCTTAATGTACAAATAAATGCTTTGTGCTAACCAAATGGTTTCGTGGTGTAGTTGGTTATCACGTCAGTCTAACACACTGAAGGTCTCCGGTTCGAGTCCGGGCGAAGCCAATTTCGCTTTTTTTTTCCAACTGACTCTTCGACGTCAATAAACTCTATTAGCGGAAAGACTATAAAATGTTGCCCATTACATTCCCTACTATATTTTCAATTACTCTGCCGCAATTAATAAACACTAGTTTTGTTATTTGTTTTTGTTTTTTTTTTTTTTTTAATTTTTTTTTTTCACAAAAATACCTTCCAAATTGAATTTTGTTAGGATTTGAATTTCTTATCAGTTTGTTAATTAGTGTTTTCCTACTCTTTTAGTTTCTTTAAACTTATTAAATTCTTATGGTTTGACAATAATCAAATCCTTGATAACCAACTTGCTAGAGGTGTTTATTATATAGTTTACAGATAAAATGCATGAAGATTCATCTACTAAGTTGCGTAGTTATATTTATTGCAATGAGTTAATTCTCAAAATGGTCATCCGATTATGACATTTTCTCAAATTGGCTCATTGACTTTTAATTGTACCTAAAGTGGTCCTCCAACTATTGATTTTAAGCCCAAATGGTCATCCGTTAGTTTTGGTGTTAAAATAAAGCTGGGTAAAACTGGTAATTCAGATTTTGCATTCCAATTTAAATCAATTTGTCTCCCCATTTTTTTGTGCTTTGAGACCTCTATGTGGCTGGTATAAAATGCAAAGTATACCAATATTTGTATTGATTTACCAGAAAAATATCTGACAGCTTGGGGCAACCTGTAAATTCTATCTCTCAACAAATTGCCTAAGTAATGATTCATGACAATAGATCATTTAAAATAGTAAACTTGTAAAACTGTAGCTTAAGTTTCTCTGCATGCTACTACATGTTCATATAAAATTAAAAGCTTAAAGCAAAATTATAGATATCAATCATACATACCCAAATGGCCAGGACATCTCTAAGTGTATGCACAAGTATATAGGAAAATAAATCTTTCTTTGACTTATTGAGTGGATTACTATGCACTGCATGTTAGATAATAAATTTAGACTAACATGAACTGTAGTAAACGAGTAACCTGTCTCGTTGCAGCGGAAGCTTTAGGATCGCCCGAATATCTCCAGCCATAGTTGTTGGTATTGTCTCTGGGATGGTAAACCTGCAGAATGGACATTAGTGTTTTGTCTACCACTTCTCTCCCGAATACGTGATGGTACGTGTCCTGAACTCGGGAGCTGTGGGAGGACTATTTTGCTTAGAAGCCTACATGCCATCAACATAGGCAGATATTCAGTTAAAGCTTAACTGAATGTCTTGAGTTGCATAACAGATTAAGTCACTAATTGACTCAATCTCCTACTTGCACCACAGCCACCCAATAATACAATATATTATAATTATTGTATTTAGGAAAAATACTTACATTCTCCCACTTGGTGCAAGTACTGGCACAAAGAACAAAATACAAGAACCATAGTAATACGTCATCTACTAATCAAGTGAGTAGTATCTACTATGATCACATGCATTTAAATTCTCTAACTTAGGTTCTTTATGAACAAACCCTACGTTTATTCTTAGTCCCTTAATGGATGTTTCTCAAAATATATTATGTGCACAACTGAAGGAAGAAACCATCCAAATTCACTGTATGATCTCCAAAATCTTAGAAGCATGCCTTAAGTAGAGATCTCTTAATGTTAGCATAATGCTAACTATATTCTATGACTTGTTTATAAGTTAACATAAACACTACCTCTAACGGCTAAGAGCTTGGAGTTGACACGTCTGTCACTCCCACTCATTAAGATAGCCCAAAAGATAGTCAAGTCACAGAAACATTCCAATAACATAAACCATAAGGTCTAAGTCAATAATTTGGAATCTTAAACAGACACCAATTTCCCAAATAATCTCAAGGTCCACCTCGAAATTAATTGAACATTACGAGTCTTATTATGTCTTACAAAATTGTTTTGAGCCTTATAAACCAAAAATGACCTAGGATCAATTTTGAAGAAACTAAAGATTATGTTAATTGCTACTAAAGAATTTATTAATTGGCAGTGCACCACAAGTTAAATGTTTTCATTCTAATAAATTCATTAATATTGTTACAACATTTTCATAAATATGTTGTACAACCAAACGTTCAATGAAATGAACTTATGAATTATAAGAACAAAAGACTAAATTAATACTTGTGAAAACTTTTGGACTTATTGCTAGACGCACAATCCAATTTGGAATGTATGAAAACAACTAAATCCATCAGCTTTAGTGGAGTATCTTAATGATCTTTCCTAAATGATCACTCCCACTGATTAAGATATTCTTTAGCCAAATTAATGATATAACACTCATAATTGATTTGACCAACTAAATAATGAAGATATAATTCCCCACCATTAGTTGGGCATACTAAATAATCAATATTTGGTTCCAATTATAGTCCAACTAAATGAATAATTAATGAGGACATGATTCTCCACCATAGTTGGACATACTAAAATAATAAAATACGCCTTCCAAAACCAAGTTGGAATTCGGCTCAGAAGATATATTTTATTATTGGAATCCATAAGAGGTATATCATACCACGCAACTTACTATAGTTACTCCAAATAGCCAAGTAAGCTTCGTGAAAAATAATTAATAAAAGGTGAATCTAAATTTTGGGAAGTGACTAAATACATGTTTTGCCAATGCAAACCACGAAACTTAGAATTATAGTTGAACTAAATTTATAAATTCTAAGAAATTGGGATAAAGTTATTATCTAATGGGTTGATGAATTTATTGACATAAAACTTGCCTGTGGGCTAAAGTTTTAATTCTATTAAATTCAATTAAACACTTATTGATAGTATTTTATCTCAATTACTAAATAGTCAGAAGAATCTAGTGACATAAAACTTGCCTGTGGCTAAAGCTCTACTCAATTAGACCCAACTGAAATTTTAAGATGAAATAATTAGCAAATGAGTTGAAGAATCAAGTGACATAAAACTTGCCTGTGGGCTAAAGTTTTAATTCAATTAGATTCATTACAACCATACAATTATCAAATGGGTTGAAGAATCAAGTGACATAAAACTTGCCTGTGGGCTGAAATTTTAATTCAATTAGATTCATTACAACCATTATGACAAAAAAAAAAAAACACTTAAGAGATCATGTTCCTTATCTTAATCCCTGTGGGCAAATTAAGATATATGACCTAAAGTTTACATCATAAAATTAAGCTTCATGATAGAGATGAGAATTATTCATAAAGTAAGTAAAATTCTTTATTTCTATCATTACTAATAAAACTACTAAACTACATCCCGATACATAATTGCCTGTGGGCTAAATTATGATCATAGTTCAGTATTTCATCCTAATTAATCATACAAATATAACGAAATTGCCTGTGGGCTAAATTCCATCATATTACATACAATTAATCACAATTGATATGTCTAAAACTTTATATGACCCTAACATCTCAATATATAATTTTAACTAATTAAGGATGCTGTGGCTACTCCCCAACTAATTAAAATTATAGGACCACTAGGCATTTATCATTGCCATCTTTATGTGATTTGAACTTTAGACAATTTTTAGTAAATTAAAGATGCTGTGGCTACTCTTTAATTAATCTAGAAATTGTAATCACTTGGCAAAAGGGGAAGTTAAAGCCTAACAAACGAATTAAACCAACACATGATAGCCAATTATTAGGTATACTCCCAGGAAAGTTGGTCGAGACGAAGCTCGGTTAAATACCAACTCCTTAGACAGAGTAGCGTCGCAAGGGGACTAGTAGCAACAAGGCTTTTAAGCCAGGGCCATAGAACTAGTATTCCTCCCCAAGAAACTTCCCTAAGTCATGTGTTCTCATGTTTGAAGTAAAATCGTTTGGGAGATCTATACAATTGTAGATTCACTTATGGATAAGGCTTTAAATTGATGAACTAAATTAGCGGACTAAACGTGCTTAA